GCATTGGTGCAATAAAGCTCCTACCGACGAGGCCGTACCGGCCGTTCGTCAAGTAAGAGAGAGAGAGAGAGAGAGATGTTGGGGGGTGGGGGGTGGGGGGTGTGGTGCGTCGGTGCCACTTGGTGAGGGGTGTAGGTGCTGGGGGATTTGGGCTCGACGCAGGTTAAGGGTCGGGGTTAGTGAAGGTATTTGGGGGGGGTGCGTTGGTGGTAGTTTGTTTCGGGCGGGAGTGTTGCTGGGGGATTTGGGCTTGACGAGAGAGAGAGAGAGAGAGAGAGAGAGAGAGAGAGAGAGAGAGAGAGAGAGAGAGAGAGAGAGATTGGTGGCTTTGGGATTTGATGACATGTGGATCCAGACTCGACATATTGGGATTCAGACATTTGACGAGTGATTATTTGGGACTGTACCGAAGAATTGCTGTTGACGACATTCCCATCTTCCCCTCTTCTTCGTCTATTCCCCCGCTTCTTCGTCTATTCCCCTGCTTCTTCGTCTGTGTATAGTTGGGGACTGGCGCATTCTTCCTGTGTGAGCGCCAGGCCCCTTCACACCATGGAATGATGATGATGCATGCTTGGTTCCCCTACTACGGCGGCTCTGTCGACCTTCTCATTATCATTATCGAGGGAGGCCGATCCCGTAATTGCATATTCGTCGGCGCCGGGGGCGCCCTTGTCGGTGGTGAATGCTCGTGTAGTGTATTCTTTGTGCCTTACTGAGGCCGAAGGCGTGTTAGGGATTTCCTGTATCACTCTGATGTTATATGCACCACAAGAACCATTCCTAAGAGTCCACGCCATTACTCGCGGCATTGGTATTTAAGCCTCCCGCTGTGTTATCTTGTACTTCGTGAGAGAGGTCGGTTCTTGTTCTGGTATGCAACAGTTTGGTTTCGGAGCGGACCTCTCAATCAGAGGATCCGCCCAGTCAAGTAGCCAGCATGCTTGGTCTACTGATTGTAGAATGATTGATTGATTGATTGTTTTTATTAGTAAATCAAGTAGTACTTCGTCAAATCTCTAGAACTTTTTTTTCTTTTTCTTTCTCGCAATAAATATCTGGAAAATTCTGATAGTAGCATTTCGTTTCTCTGATATTAGCATCCGAAAATTTCTGATATTAGCATGTATAGCCGAAAATTTCTGATGTTAGCATCTCGTCTTTCTGGGCATACAAGTTGATAAGAAGGGAGGTGGTCATATTCTCAGAAAGTGGATTTATTCTTTTGTGGAAAAAAAAAAGAACCTCCATTCTATTTTGCAAAAAATTGGTTCCTGAAAGCCGAAATTTTGTGAAGCCTATCAGCATTTCGTTTGCTAGGCATAATAGGAGGTTGTCATATTCCCGGAAACTGGATTTATTCTTTTCTGAAAATTGAATCTGTATCCTATGTTCTCACAATTTTTTTTATTTTTTTTCAAAATTGCAAAATTTGTTTTTGAAAGCCGAAATTTTGCGAAGCCTTGCCTAGATCTTACTCTTAGCACTCCTCCGTAAAATGCCTCACTGATAGCAGATTGACAGATATACAAAAAACAAGTGGACCCGCCGCGGCTCCGCCCGCGACGAAAAGGGCAAAGACAGTGAGAGAATAGGGTGAAGAGAACCGAAGATGCAGAAACCTGGTATTCAACATGGACCGGGAAAATGAAAGATGTATTTCTCATCTTACCTGTTGCAAGAGTTTTGTTTTGTCTTTGTCTTACTCCTTTTGTGTTTCTCTCTTTCTCTTTCTCTCTCTCTCTCTCTTTTTCTCTTTCTCTCTCTCTCTTTCTCTTTCTCTCTCTCTCGCTGTGTCTCCCTTTCTCTGTCTCTCTTTCTCTCTCTCTCTCTATATATTTCTCTCTGTCTCTCTTTCCCGCTGCCCGTATCCCATATCCCGACTTCCCGCTCCCCATCCCCCCTCGCAGATCTGGACTCC